TACCTCATTGTGTTTGGCATCCCATCCATTGACATTGAGGCGAGGCGGAGACGCCGTGATCTGCAGCGGACCACGTGCTGGCAGTTCCCCGGTGTTGCACGGAGGGCGAATAACTTCAATGGTGCCATGTTGGTGTTGTATGTACTTGCAAGGCACCCATCACACGGCTATAATCATTCTGCTGCACTACTGGAGGAGACTGATGAGTATCATGATGTGGTTACACTGAGAACTAGCGATGCTCTGCCAACAACGAACAAAACAGTTGGTACTGTGGGTCCTTGGGGTACCGAGGCTGGTATAAGTATAAGCAGGAAGGTATATCTTTGGTTTGACTTGGCACTGCGAGTATTCCCGAATGTGGCCTACATTGCGAAGGGAGACGATGACATGTTCCTACGAGTACCACAGTTCCTCGCTGATCTGCTCACACTACCCAGGCGAAGGGTGTATTGGGGAATGCCTCTGGGTTGGAGTGTGCGGAAACGCAGCATTAACTACCGTTTTCGATATGCTGCTGGAATGTGCTATACCTTGTCAAGGGATGTGGCACAGCAGTTTGTTTCTTACAAACCACTCCAACGTCTCGTAGAGATGCCGTACAGTAAAATGCGTGAACCGAAGTTTCTTTCTCTTAATATGCAAGATGATGACATGATGGTCGGGCGGGTGCTGCGTGTGGAGCAGCGTCACCATCACTCTATTTTCGTCGTTGCTGCACCGTGCAGCTTTCACGATATTCTTAACGACACTGGACACTATTCGGTCACATGGAGGTCTGTTGTTATTCACCACTTGCGTGAGGATGACTATGGGAAGCTGATGGAGCGGTTTGGCAACGACACGACACATAGCTCTAGACTGGAAATGGTGCGTGGACGTGGATATATTCAGTTTGTTTGTTAGCACTACCACGTATATGGTACACATAATCCATGTGCAAGTGTTTTTGATTTTCCTTTTTCTCTTTTATTTGCTTTTGGTTCTCTGGACTGGATACATTTTTGAATTATTATGTGCACCCCTCTTCTCTCTTGATTTCATTATTGCTTCTGGGACTATGCTTCCCTAATTAACTTTAAATGAATATCTTGATTTGCTTCTAGTTGACTACTGTAGAGGTTTTAACCTCCTTTCTCTCTCTGTCACCCTCTCTTTGCATCCGTGTCAATGACATTCTCAATACTCTGCTTTAATTTGTAGACCCACAGATAGAGCTATAATGGTGACCCCTAGTCCACGAAAGGTAGTCATCGTCACAAGCCTTTGTTTGGTGATTCTTGTGTTGCAGGCATTCATTGGACACCGCTACTACGACGCTCGTACAGCAGTCACGTCTAGTGGGTATCCCTCTGATACATCGTTGAACGTCACTGCTGCCGTAAAGCCGCATAGCCCAGATGTCACAGCTGACAATGAGTCTCTGCGATACATCCCACACAGCACCATACAGACATGGAGGGAGAGGGACTACCTCATTGTGTTTGGCATCCCATCTGTGGATATTGATGAGAGACGGAGACGCCGTTATCTGCAGCGGACCACGTGCTGGCAGTTCTCCGGTGTTGCACGGAGGGCGAATAACTTCACTGGGGCCATGTTGGTGTTGTATGTACTTGCACGGCACCCATCACACGGCTATAAGTATTCTGAGTCACTACTGGAGGAGACTGATGAGTATCATGATGTGGTTACACTGCCGATGAATGATGCTCTGCCAACAACGAACAAAACAATTGGTGGTGGTGGATTTTGGGGTACCGAGGCTGAGATTAGCATGAGCCGAAAAACGTACTTTTGGTTTGAGTTGGCATTGCGAGTATTCCCGAATGTGAACTACATTTCGAAGGGAGACGATGACATGTTCCTGCGAGTACCACAGTTCCTCGCTGATCTGCGTACACTACCACGCCGTGGGACCTACTGGGGAAGGTTCTGGACGGAGAAGAATAAACCTTTCTCCCACGCTTCGGGATATTGCATGACACTTGGGAAGGATAATGCTGAGCAGTTCGTGTCGTACACACCTCTGCAGCGCTTGGTATACACGCCGTACAGCAAAGAGGAGGAGGCGAAGTTTTTCTCGCTTAATATGCAACACGAAGACATGATGGTGGGGTATGTGCTGCACAAAGTAATGGGCAATAATATTACCTTTGTAAGTGAACCGCCCTGTCGGTTTCATGACATACGAGGATACTACGGCCGAAATGTAACGTCGAGTTCTGTTGTAATGCACCATATCAAAGAGAAAGACTATGAGAAGTTGATGAATATTTTTGGGAACGATACGGCTCCTCCTGCAAAGGCTTACAAGGTAATCAATAATCGCATCGAGTTTGAATGCTAACCCTAGTATGTGAATGATGCCTTTAATGCTTGCTGCAAATGTGTCTGTCTGTCCTTTGCGTGGGAGGTATTTCTCTCTGTGTGTGTGGTTCCCTCTCATTCCCCCTCAGCACACATACACTGCGTACACCACAGCAATGGCTTTGCCGTCCGATGGACTACTGGGCTCGGTGGATAACACTCCTCCTCCTCCTCAGTCTGTCACCGCAGGGAGCCATCAGACATCTGCACTCTGCTGAACCAACCACCCCCACACAGATTGAGACCGGACACTGTACGCACCTGCCAGCGCCTTGCTTGCAAAGGGACC